GGAGATTGCCGGACACATAGACGTGTTGAGCGAGAATAGCTGCATACCGAAACCTCACAGATGGATTGATTTTGAGTTTGCCAGACACATGGACGCGCTGAGTGGGGATACCTGCAAACTGAAACCTTGCGAGTTGAGGGATGTTGGATAGTGCCGGACACATAAGCGCTTTGAGTGAGGAAAGACATATACTGAAACCTCACAGGTGATTTGCATTGGAGATTGCCGGACACATAGACGTGTTGAGCGAGAATAGCTGCATACCGAAACCTCACAGATGGATTGATTTTGAGTTTGCCAGACACATGGACGCGCTGAGTGGGGATACCTGCAAACTGAAACCTTGCGAGTTGAGTGATGTTGGATAGTGCCAGACACATAAGCGCTTTGAGTGAGGAAAGACACATTCTGAAACCTCACAGGCGATTAGCATTGGAGATTGCCGGACACCTAGACGTGTTGAGTGGGGATAGCTGCATACTGAAACCTCAGGGATGGATTGGTTTTTGAGTTTGCCAGACACATGACGCGCTGAGTGGGGATAGCCACGTACTGAAACCTCACGAGTTGAGTGATGTTGGAGTGCCGGACACACAAACGCTTTGACTGAGGAAAGACACATACTGAAACCTCACAGGTGATTTGTATTGGAGATTGCCGGACACATAGACGTGTTGAGTGAGGATAGCTGCATACTGAAACCTCACAGATGCATTGGTTTTTGCCAGACACATAGACGCGCTGAGTGGAGATAGCTACATACTGAAACCTCACAGATGGATTGGTTCTTGAGTGTGCCAGACACGTGGACGCGCTGAGTGGGGATAGCTACGTACTGAAACCTCACGAGTTGAGTGATGTTGGATAGTGCCGGACCCATAGACGCTTTGAGTGAGGAAAGACACATACTGAAACCTCACAGGTAATTTGCATTGCCGACACCTAGACGTGTTGAGTGAGAATAGCTAAGTACTGAAACCTCAGAGATGGATTGGAATTTGAGTTTGCCAGACACATAGACGCGCTGCGTGGGGATAGCCACGTACTGAAACCTCACGAGTTGAGTGATTTTGGATAGTGCCAGACACATAGACGCGCTGCGTGGGGATAGCCACGTACTGAAACCTCACGAGTTGAGTGATTTTGGATAGTGCCAGACACATAGACGCGCTGCGTGGGGATAGCCACGTACTGAAACCTCACGAGTTGAGTGATGTTGGATAGTGCCAGTCACAAAGACGATTTGAGTGAGGATAGCTGCATATTGAGACCTAACGGGTTGAGCGACGTTTGCGACTGCCGGACACATAGACGCATTGAGTGACGAA